AGGCCACTGGGGTGTCCTTGAGGCTTAGACACTCATGCGGGATTCCTAGAATTCAGTGGAAGAGGCCTGCATTGGTACTGCCACAGTGATCAGTCCCTGGCTGAAAGCAGCAGGCAGGAGGCATGGCCTCAGTGAAAATGTGGTGGTGGATCTAGAGGAACAACAGCTGGCACTGTCAGTCAGTTCTGCTCCCATAGCAAATCTGAGCAGCACATTGTCATGACCTGCCCAATAACTGACAGATTGAAGGTTGGTCACACCCCAAGGATACAAGTCCAAAAGCAGTGATGCCAGAATCTGTCACCTTGATGCAGGGAGAGGGATGCACCCCCTTCCCTACACTCTTGAATAAACCTTTGTGTATCTGTGTATATAAATATGGACAGTGCTAAGTCCTTATATATATTGAATGAATAAAGTCATCTAGATTTCTACCACAAAACAATGACTTTCAACATCTTATGTTTACATCATTACAATCATCATGCAAGTGGTACTTCATGTTTTTTAAAGGTTTGATATTTATACCTAATATTTCCATGTTTCTACCATAATCTTCATAATTATACTTTTTAGTGACTGAACAATACTCAACAAATAGATGTACCACAATTTCCTAAGTCATTACTGTGCAAGATTTCCATTATTCCTATTTTTCTGTGTGTTATATCTAACGCTCATATACATCTTTGGGCATATACTATTAGTTCCTGTTGGATTGTAGCTCTAGGGTAAATTTCAAGGTTTGAAGTTACTAGATTAAAAATGCAATTTTATAATTGTATCAAGTTTTGCTACGTTACTTTGTAAAAGCATGTCAATTGATAATATGTATTAGTTGTCTATTGCTGCATAAAAAACCCTATAAAACTAAGTGGCTTAATAGAACCCACAACTATTGTCCCACTATGGACAACAGACATATGGATTCTAGGGATCAAGGATCCAGACATGGCTTAGCTATGTCCTCTGCTTCAGGGTCTGTCACTGGCTGAGATGAAGTCGTCACTGAGGCTGAGGTATCATCTGAAAGCCTGACAGGGGAAGGATTCTCTTTCATGCTCACATGGTTGTTAGGGGTTGTTGGACTGATGCCGTCAGTTCTTAGCCCACTGTTGGTCAGACTTTCCATGTGGGCCTCTCCAACATAGCAACTTGGTTCAATAAAGCATGCATCCAAGAAGATAGCATTCTGCTAGCAAGACAGAAGTCAAAATCTTTTCCAACTTATTTACAGAAGTGACATTTGCTCAATGCTTCGGTAGTCTATTATTTCAAAAGCAAGGGGAGCAAGGGAAAGGATGGCCCCAGACTAAGAATACAGGAGCGGGGAGCAGTGGGGGCAAAGCTGCCTATTACTAAGGTCAACAAGAGTGTATGCTCATGCCAATTTCACCACAACCTTACCAACACTGAATGTTCTAGTATCTAAAAATTACCAGTATAGTAGGTGCAAAGAACTATCTCCCATCTTAATGCCCTTTGCTCCAGTCAGGCATTTCCTCCTGGGGCCACCTGGGTCCTTTGCTCTCAGCTGCTGCCAAGTACAATAATTTCCCAAAAAGTGCCAACCGATAGTAACCTAAAGAACTGCCCTGACACTTGAAAAGCTGTAAGTGCAGACTTATATTAGGCAACAGTGAGTTCCCTGTGAGGGTTCAAGTCTCAAGAATTACTGATATTTGGGCAGCAACTCCAAGGCCTGAACACCCTGGTACTTGTACCACATGAAAATACTAAAATTTAGGAAACCAATCTTCTTTTAAAGCTTACTATATACCCTCACTGGGCTTCACATTTTGCAAACTTTATTTCATTTTTTTATTGTTAAAACAATGCTGTAAGATACATATTAATATTCTAATTTTACAAATGGGAAACTCAAGATCAGATGTGAAATCACTTCTTCAAGGTCATTCTACTAAGATGGGAAGGCTAGGATTTGAACTCATAGCTCTTTCTGCCTCCTAAGGTGCCCTCAGCTGGGGCCTTCTAGGACTCTGCCCTTCCACTCCATTCCCACTTCAACACAAAATATATTTGGTGTCCCTTCCTCGTCAGTTAGCTGAAAGGGTCTCTACCGGAAGTTCCAGAAGGCTCTGCTCAGTGATCTTTTCTTTTCCCCCTGATAGAATAGATGAGGATGGAAAGTCACCTCTAGCCAGCATGGGGAGAAAGCCTGTAGAATCCCAGTATATATTTGTGCAATGAAAACCTCAGGATAAATAGGGAAATATAAATGTAGGGTTTTGATAATGGGATCTGGAGCGAGGCTGCTAGCTTTAAATCCTGGTTCTGCCACTTATGAAACTTTACGATTTGGGGCAAATTTCTTCACCTTTCTGTGCTGTTTGCTTGCCTGTAAAATTGAAATAATCTCACCAGCTACATATTTGAATTTGGGGATAAATTTTTAAAGATGCCTAAGTACCCAGTACAGTGTCTGGGCACAGTAAGGGCTCCATAAACATTACTGTAGGAATGGGGTAGGCAGGAGGCCTCACTGGGTAAGGACCCTCACATGCATTTGGGACCCAGTCTGGGATTATGCACATGTGGGGATTGGGCTCCAGGTGCATGTGCTCAGCTCCAGGCATGCCCGCGTGGGGCCCTGCGCTATGGACACTGGCTGGTGGGGACAGAGGAAGTAGAGTAGGGTCAGGGATAGGCAGAGCCAAAGCCAGCACCATGACTCTGTGACCCCCCTCCCTTTATTACGGCTGTGTTCAGATGTGCGTGTGTGTGGTGAGGGTTGTATTTATGTGCCGATGTAGTTCTGAGGACCATGAACATGTGGGGGGCATGACTCAGTAGAACAGTACTCCCAGGGTTCCAGGCAGGGTGCGGGTGACTGAGGTACACAGCAGACATCTGAGAATGAAGATGCGGGCAACATTCATAGGGTGACCTCCTGTCACCTGGCCCATCTGCATAGCCTTAGAGCATGTTTTTAACCTTTCTGGAATCAACCCCCAAACTGTGTGCAGGGGCCTAAAGCCTCCTGGGGTCCCTGAGTAGTCACTGTGCCCTTTAGGAAGTGACCAAGAAGTGTCCTGCTTTCCCCACTGAAATCAGTAATCATGGGAGATCAGGACCATGCCCTGTCCTCAAAAAGTCCCAAGATGGGAAGACAGCACTGGGGTCATATAACATTCATACTCCAGCCAGACTTACTGTAATTGCTCAGGAACTTCAAGGAGCCAGGTCTCTCTGTTGTAGCCTAAGAGTCTCATTCATGTATTAAAAAAACGTTATGGAGAGCCTCAGTCCAGAGCTGTGAAAAAGACACACAACCCTGCCCTTGCAGATAATACCTTTCAGCAGGAGATGCTGAGCCACTAACTCCACAGCAGCTTGTTTAATTAGAGTTAGCAGTAAGGGCTAGGGAGAGGTACATGGTGTGCAGCAGGGTATGCATGAGGATGGTTCCTGGAGTTGGGTCCCTGAGTCATCCTGCAGGAGAGAGCACCTCAAATGAACAACACAACCATGGCAAAGGCCTGTGTGTTAAGGAGGGGAGGCATGTAAGGGATCACAGTGCTTATGAGGCTAGCATCCACAGCACTATGGGAAGTGGGATACAGGACAGTTGGGGAGGCCAGCAGGCCTAGGCTCGGAGATGTAACTTTAGCCAGAAAGCAAGAAGATGCCAGGGGAGGGGGCTGCAGTGGGTTTCAGATGTTCATATTGCCTAGGCTTGAGCCAGGCTCAGGGGATATGTAGAGGGTGGTGAGGAGGAGGGGCAGCTCACAGATGGGTGCTCTGTGAGCCAAAGTTTGGAGGTGGGGCCATGTAAGGCATATGTGGGGAGTGGGAACAGCCCTTGAGCGGAGACAAAATTTGACATGGAATAGCAGACGGAGCCAAGTAAGAGCCATTTTAGGGAGCCCACACCATGCACAACAGGGCTCCCTTATCTCACCATCTAGGCAGGTATGCCTGATGCCACCATCTTGGCTTCTGCAGTATTGACAGTAGTTGGGGTGTGGGTGGGGAGTGTGCCAACACTGTCCTAAGGACCTGAGAGACAGGGTGCTCTACATGCAGTAACAGTCTGCCTTGGCCTGGTATGGGGACCTGCAGGCTAACACAGAATAGAACCAGAGCACTGAGTGTCAGCCCACAGTGAAGGAGCCCGCAGGAAGGCATAGCTCCCCATCATGCTCACTCTCCTTTGCAGTCCCCTGCAGAACTATGTGCCACCACTGAGTGGGCCTCCCATGCTGCTGTGTACCCTTCCCTGAGTTACACTGGCCTCAGGCCCGAATTCTGCAGCTCTTCCACGGAAAACATATTAACAAAAACAATACAGGAAGCCTGACTTGTTGATCATAATTCTCCTCACCATCCACATTAAATCTTCTGTCCAAAGATCAAAAGTGGGGTCTGCTCTGTCTACTACCAGAGGGCTCAAGGAAAACAAGCTGGCCAAAGGTATAGAACAATAGGCCAGGTCCACTATCTACCCCCACCCTGCTTTGTAAGCCAAGTTCATTCATCCCATCTCTATCTCCCCTCATGCCCTCACCTCACTCCCTCTGCTGTCCAAGCCCTGAGCATGCTCTGTACCACACCTGTGGCCTCCATCCCTGCAGGGTCATTGTCTGGCAATGGTTTGTTCCTTACCCTTCCTTTGGCCAGAGATCCAGCCAGGTCTCCCTCACCCTAGGTCTTGCCAGTTTCCAGCAACACTTCCCCTTCAGGCCTAGGGGCTCTCCTGGGGCCCACCACCCCTTTTTGGCTGCCCAGCCCTCTCTGAGCAAGCCAGCTACACTGGACACATCACTCTTAAAGCCCCACCGCAAGCTCATCATTTCCCAGCCTTTCAGGCACACAATAGATTCTCATCTTGGCCTCTCAAAGCCTTTAATATCTACCATAGTAGAAGGAAATTAGGATCTGACCAACAGGAAAACTATGCTGTAGTTCTTTGCTGTAAAAGTGTTTACATCCTACCAGCACCTCTGGTAGTGAGATGTATTCTGACTCTTAGAGCCCACTGGTATTCAAAGACCAAGGAGGAACATACTGTTTATTTATGGAACACCCTTTCTGCCAGGGGACCCCACAATCCTGCCAGAAATTTACATCATCCCCATTTTACAGTGGAGGAAACCAAGTCTCAGATTCATAAAGGGATATGCCAAGGGTGCTGAGATTATAAGAACTGGGCTGGGGTAGGACCTAGGCTGTTTAACTCCAAAGCTTACGATTTTTTCTGACACTGGGCTGTGGGTGCAGAAGCACCAAGAGCCTGCAGTGTCAATGGCAGGGTGACGCCTACACGAGCTGGAACTGCCTGTGAGATGGGCCCCTCACGAACGGCCTGAGTTGAGTGTTGCCCTCCACATTTGTAGCAGAGAGTCCCGGCGGGTTGTGTAAGGTAAATGTTTGATGCGGAACCAATGTCTGGGAACAACATTCCCGCTGGGAGTATACAGCTTCTCTCCAGGTCTGCCCAAGAGACTGCGCAGAGCTAGGTTGCCCGACAAAACCTTCTCATAGAACTCCACTCCACCCTGGGAATAGGCTGTAGACAGGGAGGCTGTGCGTTGGTCCAGCCAGGCTTCCAGTGCATGAGTGAGAGAGTCGGTGGAGAAGGCATAAGCCACAAAGCCTGCCACTGCTGCCACCAGGTTGAATGCAGCCCGTAAGTTCATGGGGCTTCCATAGAGCCCCAATGCATGCTTGGCACCCACGCTCAGTGCCCAGGTTCCTGCTAGGCAAGCTGGGGCCACCAGGGCCTGTAGGGCAGCGGCACTGCTCTCCAGGTACACCACTTCCCTGGCCAAGGCAAACTTCTGAGCATCATGAGATAGGGTTAGGGCATTTCTCAGCCGGGTACCTTCTGGGGTCTTCCAGTCCACTCTTTGCCCATGTACAACCACAGGACAGTTGGTGTTGGTCACTGGGTCACCCAGGAAGCTGGCAGGGATGCCCACCACAGCCCCAGCAGGGAGTCTTGGGAAGCCAGCACTCACAGGCTGGAAGGTGAAGGCGGTGAAGGCCTCATAGCAATGGCCTGATGGGATGCCTATGTCCTCTAGCACCTCTTGGAAGAGTCTCTGTAGCTTTGGGGGGAGCGGGGCTGGCTGGCCCTGAGGCCAGTACTGGTATAGCCATCGAACCACAGGATCTGGGCAAAGGTGGTATGAGATTTGGGCCCCAAACAGGCCTGCACAGGAACCCACCAATAAGCCTGTCCTGTGTCTCTGCACAAATGCTGCTGCCCGCCACAGGGGACCTGCCATGAATGCTGCCACCGCTGTAAACCTGGGCCAAGAAAAAAAGCAGTCAGTCAATAGTTCCCTAAGTCTGCCTGTTGACTGAACACCCTCCCAGGCTACATCCTTTTTAACTAGGGCAACACAACACAGTGGTGAGGGCCTGAGTTCAAATCTCAGTTCCATTTCTGTGTATCAGCCTCTCCATCTGCCAAAGAGGCCTGTGATAATGGCCCACTGCTAGGGTGGCTGTGATTAGTAAATGAATGAATACACAAAAAATGTCTGGCACAGTAGTGGACACCCTGGTGATAATATCTGTGATTATTATTTTTATTCCCACAGCATTAAGTACTCAACTGCATGACTCCACTATTCATCCACAGTGAAGTGCTATGACCACTAATTTACAGATGAAGCATATGTTCAATTTATTGAGTATGACTGTATGCTAGACAGTTCTGACAGCTTTACATTTATTATCTCACAACTCCATGACCTAATTACTACTATTGCTCCTATTTAAAGCAATGAAAATGGAGGCACAGACAGGCTAAGTAAATTGGTTAAAATTCCAAACTAATAAAATGGCAGTTAAGGGATGAATTAAGTCCATTCAAATTTATATGCTTAAGTCTTAACCCTCCTCCCCCACCTCCAAATATGACTGTATTTACAGATGGGGCCTCCAAGGAGGTAATTAGGCAAAAATAAGGTTATTAGGGTAGGCCCTAATTCAATATGATGTCCTTATGAGAACATGAGATTCGAACACAGGCACAGGAAAGATCGCGAGAGGTGGCAAGGCAGAAAGGGATCATCTATGAGCCAATGAGAAGTCTCAGAAGAAACCAGCTCTGCTGACACCTTGATTTTGGACTTCCAGCCTTTAGAATCATGGGAAAAATAAATTTCTGCCATAGAGTACATGTCACAGCAGCCCTCGCTGACTACTACAGGCACACTATTTGAACACAGGTTGTCAAGCATTCACTGCAAACTTCATTTTAGAAAAAAAATTTTAATGCCAAATTGCAAACATATACAAAGATAGACAAAATATTACATTAACTTCAATCATCAACTCATAGCAAATCTTGTTTTACCTCTACTCCCACCCACATTCCTTCATCAACTAGTTTATTCTGAAACACATCCCGGGGGCATCCCATTATTTCAGAAAAATTCATAATTACTTAACTTTGAAGCTTACTGTCTTCCTGTCTGTTAAGTGTTTAAGGCAAGTAAGTTGCTGCAAATAAGAACGCGGGGTACTTATTTTAATAAAAAATTCCTAAAGAATCACAAAACTTAGCCCTTTTTTCAATGAGAAAACAGCCTAGGTGAGGAAGGGTCCTGGTCTTGGTACCGATGCCCCCCAGGCCCACCTGCGCCAAGGCCGCGCTCCCGGTCGGCCTCGGAGGCAGTGCCACCGCTCCTCCGGCAGCTGTGAGGACCCGCTGGGCTTCCACCCAGGCCCCCCAGGCCGTGCCCGGGGCTCCAGCGAGTAGCCTAGGGCAGGGGGCTCACCCAATCTCGCGCTCACCTACTAGCTGTAGTTTGAGACGCCGCAACGCTACTCTGGGTAGTGGGGGAGGAAGCCAGTGGGGCGGGCTCTGGGGGCGTGGCCAGGCGCAGAGCACGCTGGGCTCGCGTGGGAGGCTCCTCCCCAACGGAGTGCTTTGGGCGGGGCTGCAACCTGCAAAGTCTTGGCGGTGGGTCAGTCACTCAATTTAGCTGTTGAGTAAACGACAACTCCGCGTGGTTTTGGAGGCGCTTGGAGCAAAGCCTCCATTGGAGACCATGCCCGCCTGACTGCTGGGTCTATGTGACCTTTCCTGTGTGTTAAGCTCACCGCCAGCGGGTGCTCTGGGCTTCATTTTATTTACCACATCCTCTGCTCCTGCACCCCAATTCCTCTCAAATGATTCACCCTGTACAGTCTACAGAGCAGCGTCACATATGTCACCTCACTTTCCCACAGTTCTATGAATAGGTCAGGAATGGATTTGCCTGTGCACCAAGCCCGGCTTGCCACCTATTTTTGTAAGTAAAGGTTTACTGGAACATAGCCACAGCCATTCCTTCACAAGTTGTCTATGACAGAGTTGAGAAGCAAGGACAGAAAAGGCCTGGCCCAGTAATCTTAAAATATTGACTATCCAATCTGTCCCAGAAAATGTCTCTGGGCCTTTGCAGCAGATCATTCCCATTTTATAGGTGAAGAAACTGAAGCATTTAGCTTGAGCAGGGTACCTAGGTCTCATGCATCAGAACAGAACAGGACTCATTCCCTGTGAATTTCCCATTTTAGCTCCTGCCTTCATACAAAGTCAACCTAATGAGTCTTGCTAATTTTCCCAAGTGGGTCTGGCTTCTGTGCCTGGCTTTCTCTTCCACCCCAGGAAAGTGGGGAAGGAGGGCTTAATTTCTGGACAGAAAGGTGAGGATGCAAAGAAAGGTGAGGATGAAAGGAGACTCAGAAGCATACAGGTGTTGGGGTGGGGCTTTGGAAGATGACCATTTTGTCTCCAGACAAACCACCAGCTCAGACCTCTCTACAGGGCACCTGACCACACAAGAACCAGCTGCAGTGGGCCAGTTGGGACCATACTTGATTGCCTGCTAATGCTTTGTGTGTAGCTTCCTTTGGGAACACTCTGGGGTCAGCATTCCATGTTTCAGGCTTGGCTCAGCAGCCCCTTATGAAATCATGGACTGGTCAGGCAGAGAGACCTCTGTGACACTAGAGGAGAACCCAGACCTGGTGTGGCTGCCCCTGGACCTGGTCCAGCTTCAGCCTAGAATCAATGCTTAGGAAGACTGCAGCCCAGGAAAAGAGACCTTCTTAGGAGGCCCCTGGGTGAAAAAAGGTCACCCCTCTGGATCTCCATTTCCTCATGTATAAAGTGAGGAAAATATCTGTTTCAAAGGGATCTATTACACTCTAACTTTAGAGTTAGAAGCCAAGGTGGCTTCTAACTTTAGAAGCCACCTTGGCACCATTTGCATAACAAAAGAGGTGAGAGAATGATACTTTAAGCCATTTGTTCCAGAACTGGGACTTGGAGTCTTCCTTCAATCTTGGCTTTGACCCTGTAACAAGTATAAAGAACACATGGACAAAAACTAGGGGTGGGTAGAAATGGGAGGGAGGTGGGGAGGGCTGGGTGGGTGGGCTGGGATGGGAGTAAAAGATAAAAAATTGAAAAAAAAATCTTGGCTTTAAAAGGCACTCTATCTGTCCCAAGACTTCTGCGACCAGCTGTAAATCTGGCAACAGTGAAGAGCACAGATGCTGGAGCCAGAAGGCTGGGGTTAGGTCTGGCCCCACCCCTACCAGCTGTGTGGCTTTGGGCAAGTTAACCTTGCTGGGCCTAATGTTCTCATCAATAAAATGGGGATGAGAGTACCAACTACTTCCTAGGTAATTGTAAAGATTCAATGAGCTCATGTATGCATAGTGCCAACACAGTGTGTCATATAACTGTTAGTTATTATTAAGATCTGTTCTGGTTCTGAGACTCCAACTTTGGCTGCTTAGTTGTTTGTATGTAAATGAGGCTAAAACATCTTTTAATATATGACCTCAGCCAGGTCCAGAATATGGGAAATACCTGACAAAGCAAGTGATGTGGTTTTTCTAACAAATCAATGACATGAAAAAAGATGTAGGGAAAGGAGGCTGTTATAAAGAAGAGACTTGAAAGATAGCAGTTAAATGCAATTTGTGGCTTTTGTTGGGATCCTGAATCAAGTTAGTTTACTAACTGTAAAAAAAAGACACCTTTGAGACAACTGGGAAAATCTGAATATGGGTTTAGTATTAGATGATATTAACAATGGTTTATTTTGTTAGGTGGGATGAAGCATGATGTTTATGTAAACCAAAACATCCTTGTCAGAGATGCGTACTGAAGTACTTACAGGTGCAAAGACATGATGTCTTCTATTTAGTTCAAAAGGTTACAGCCAAAACAAAACAACCATGAAAACCAGGGACATGTATGAAATAACATAGACAAAATGCCGGTAGTTGTTGACGCTTCATGACAAGTTCAGGGGTCCATAAGTCTGCTTAAATTTATGTATGTTTGGAAATTTCCATAATAAAATGTCTTGTTTAAATATCTTTTAAAGTAGGCTGACCAATTAGACTTCATCAAGTTAAAAACTTTTGGGCATCAAAGAACATTATCAAGAAAATCACCTGGCTGGCATAGCTCAGTGGATTGAGCACGGGCTGCAAACCAAAGTGTTGCAGGTTCGATTCCCAGCCAGGGTACATGCCTGGGTTGCAGGCCATAACCCCCAGCAACTGCACATTGATGTCTCTCTCTCTCTCTCTCTCTCTCTCTCTCTCTCCCTCTCTAAAAATAAATAAATAAAATCTTAAAAAAAATCAAAAGATAGTCCATGGAAGGGGAGAAAGTACTTGGAAATAATAGATATGATAAGCCTCTAGTATTCAAAATATATAAAGAACCCCTAACAACTCAACAACAAAAAGATAAGTAACCCAATTAAAAATTGGACAAATGACTTGAACAGACATTTTTCCAAAGAATATATACAAATGGCCAACAAGTACATCACAAGGTGCTCAGAATCACTAGTTATTAGGAAATCCACAATAAGATACTATGGCACAACTACTAGAATGGCCATGAAAAAAAAAAACAACAGAAAGTAAGTGCGAGGGTGTGTAGAAACTGAAATTCTCATACATTACTGGTGAAAATATAAAATGTTTCAGCCGTTGTAGAAAACAGTTTGGCAGCTCCTCACAAAGTTAATCACAGAATAATATACCATCAAGAAATTTCACTTTTAGGAATATACCCAAGATAATTGAAAGCATGCACTTAAACAAATATTTATACACAAATGTTCATATGACCACAATAACCAAAAGGTGGAAACAACCCAAATGTCCATTAATTGATGAATGGGCAAATAAAATGCAGCATTTGGCACACCATGAAATATTATTTGGTCATATAAAGGAATGAAGTGTTGATACACACTGCAACATGGATGATCTTGAAAACATTATGCTAAGTGAAAGAAGCCCACCACAACAGACCATATATTGTATGACTCCACTTGTGGGAAATGTCCAGAATCTATAGGCAAATCTATAGAAACAGAAAGCATTTTTGTGGTTGTCAAGGGATAATGAGGAATGGTTGCTAATGGGTATGGGATTTCTTTTAGGAGTGAAGCAGTTGAAACATTTATTGAATATGCTTATTTACTTAGCAGCTTATTTATTTAGCAGCATAAGAAAATAAGATAATTTGCAGCAGGGATAAGGCTACTCAGGAACTAAAGCCAGTACTACGATTAAAAAAAAAATAGGGTAAGGGAATTGTTTAGCTAAGGTGATTAGGGAAGCTTCTCTGCAGAGGTGATGTTTGGGCTGAGTCCTGAATGACAGGACAGATAAGATGGAGATCAGTGTGACAGCTGTCCCTAGCAGAGAAGATAGCTAATTCCATGGCCTAAGGACAGGAAGGAGACTGAGGAGTGAAAATTCCAGTGTACTGGCAGAGACTAGGATGCCAGGGCCTTGTAAGCCCAAGAGAGACCCCTGCATTTTATCCTAACTGCAATGGCAGGTCATTGGTGACTTAGGCAAGGCTGTTCAGTGGAAGGTGAGGAGGATAGTTTGGTTGAAGACAGAATGGAAGCAGGGATTGAGGAAGTGGAGGCAGGGAATGTAGCCAACTCTTTTAGTTGTGAAAGATAGGGTCTAAGAATGGTTTTGTATGGTATGTTTATATGATAATTATCTCGCCGAGAAATATTATTGAGAGAGACAAATTGATATTCTCAGGGAGAGGGGATCCCTGCAGGTGAGAATTCCTTGGGTGGTGAGAGAGCCCAGGATATGAGTGGGAGGAGGACAGGGGTCAGGACCAATTCCACACTCTCAGGTCAACACTTCATACACCTTAAACTTAATGTAATGTATCAATTACATCACAATAAAGCTGTGGTCAGTGGATAGCTTAGGGGATAAGCAGGAAATACATATGGGAACAAGTACCGTGGAAATGATGGATTCCAGGACATCTGATGGGTTTTTTTTCATTGTAAAGTGAAAAAAAATACAAATAATATTTACCGTCTTAAATATACTTAAGTGCACAGCTCAGTGCTGTTAAATACATTCACAAGGTTGTACAAACATCACTACCATCCACCTCCATAATTTTTTCATGTTGTAAATGGCAGTTCTGTATCCATTAAACACTAAGCCCCTACTGTCCGCCCTCTAGCCCTGGGCAGCTACCATTCTACTTTCTCTGGAATTTTGACCACTCTTAAGTATCTTCATATAAGTGGAATCATACAGTTTTTGTCTTTTTTTATTGTTTTAATCATTGTTCAAGTACAGTTTTCTCCCTTTTACTCCCATTCCAGCCCACCCGCCCACCCCACCCCACTTCCCTCCCATTACTACCCTCCCCATAGTTTTTGTCCATGTGTCCTTTAAATTTGTTCCTGTAAATCCTTCCCATTCTCCCCTGAAATTCCCTCTTCTCTCCCCTCTGGTCACTGTCAGCCTGTCCTC